CAAGGCCATCAAAAGTAAGGAAGGTCTGAGAAACTGTCACCACCAAGAAGAGCCAAAGGAGATGCAGCAACTAATGTCATGGGGTATTCTAGATGGGATCCCGAGACAGAAAAGGATGTTAGGTAAAAACTAAGGAAATCTGAATAGGCTATAGATTTTAACTACTGATAATGTATCAGCATTTGTTCATTGATCAAATGTACCATGCTAATGCAATATGTTAACAATAGGAGAAACTGTGTGGAGAATATATGGGAATTCTCTGTACCATTTACTAAATTTTTCTGTACATATAAAAATCTTCTAAAAATTAGTCTATTTTTTTTTAAAAAAAAAGCTTATCACTGCCCAAACAAAAAGAGCATTTGTAGCAGTAGGGCAAATAATATTCTTTTAAAGAACTGCTACTATTATTCCTCCTCCTCTTCCTCTTCCTTATTGCTATTGTTATAGTAATACTATGAGATGATCTGGCAGTGTTAAATGCCTCTAGGAACCTTTAGAATTAGGATGCAGTTGAAGAGTAGCTTTCTGTGAGCCTTGTATTAGGCCAGGCTTTGGCAAGCTACAGCCAATGGGCCAGATCTGACTGTTTTAGTAAATAAAGTTTTATTGGAACACAACTAATGCTCATTCATGTTTACATTTTGTCCTTGGCTGCTTTTGCACTACAATGGCAAAACTGAGCAGTTGCACCAGAGACCAGATGGCCCACAGAGCTTAAAAAATATGTACTATCTGGCCAACCCCCGGTTTAGGTTACCTGAGTTACAAGGTAGATGGTGAGGCAGGTAAGCTGGGCCACCAGAATTCATCTGGGTTATAATCAAGTATCTATCAAATAGAACTCTGCAGATCAAGTAGCGTGAGTAAATAGAGTAGTCAGCTTCAGAGGTGGCCACATGTTTAAGGTGTCTGAACACTTTTTTTTGCTGCAGAGCTGTGTCTTTTGGCCCCATGGCTGTATCAGCTGTGTGAACCCTACCCCTTCAGACTTCCAACTTTAGGGACTTCCGTCTTGGCCTTTTCACTCTACTCTTCTTTTAGTGTTCCTAACTTTGACATGAGAGTAAATAGTCAGAACTTAATGTGTTTTTCAATGTGCCAAGCACTTACACATGCTCATCAATTTCTTCCTTATGAAGTAGGGCTGCCATAGTCTCTGTTTATAGTTAAGGAAACTGAGGCTCATTAAAGTGCAATAATTTGCTCAGGAAGGTCACTTGGCTCATAAATGCTGAGCCATGGTTTGAATCGAGGCTTTGTTAAATTCCCTACAAATAAGCCCGCATTCAGTGCTGGAGCTGGCTCACACTGGCTGGTGAGAACCAATCATTGAATTTTTAGGAATTCTGTGAGCCAGTTAACAAATTCAGCCGTTATTAAAAATTAAATTATGTAAACTTTACAACCAAGTAAGTTTTATTAAGAACAAAGATAATACACCTCAGAACCCTTCACTAGTTATTACTACATTTTACTATTCTCTATGCTCTTGAGATTATTTTTGTCTACGGAATCTGAATGGTGAAAGTGCTATCTCATGGTGTCCTCTTACACATCTCTGCCAAGCTCCACGTTTGGTGATGTCACGTTGGTTGCTTGAAACTGGCCATGATAGGAGTATTTATACCAAAGAAATGGGCAAACACTACAGATTAGGGCTTTACCTTTTTTCCTTGAAAGCCAGCTGGTTACATATTTTCCAGAATACCAGTGCTTACCCTGCATTCTGATTTTGATCTCTGGTATTCTAGACAGTTACATTTGTTTCTGCTTGGCCTCCTATCTTGACCTTTGAACCCTATAACTTTTATAGTTCATGCTATAGCAACCTACAGAGAGGACCTGAGCTTTTTTTTTTTTTTTAAGACTTATTTATTAATTTATTTTTGGCTGCGTTGGGTCTTAGTTGCGGCAAGCAGGATCTTTGTTGAGGCATGCGGGATTTTTCGTTGCGGAGTGTGGGCTCTTCATTGCGGCGTGCAGGCTTCTCTCTAGTTGTGACTTGCGGGATTCCTCTTCTCTAGTTCTGGCGAGTAGGCTCCAGGGTGCGTAGGCTCTGTAGTTTCCAGCACACAGGCTCTCTAGTTGAGCCTCGAGAGCTCAGTAGTTCTGGCTGCAGGCTTAGTTGCCCCACGGCATGTGGGATCTTAGTTCCCTGACCAGGGATCGAACCCGCATCCCCTGCATTGGAGGGCAGATTCTTTACCACTGGACCACCAGGGAAGTCCCTGAGCTCTTTTTTATTGTTTTTGTTTGTTTGTTTTTCTGACAGTGGGTAGCATTTCCTTAGTGTAATTCCCTTGTTGATAAAATATGTTCCACCTGGTGAGGAAGAAGTTTCAACAATTTTATAATTTGCTTTTGAATGCAGAAACAGGTTTAAGGATAGCTTGTAATCCATAAAAAAAAAAAACAAAACAAAACCCTAGAGTTGAATTATCTTTATAAATATAGGGTGATCTCCTATTGTTCAGAATTTTTGGTAAGATTTTCTACTTAAATAATTTTCTGGCTACATGAGGATTGTAGCCAGAAAAATTTTCTTAAAAAATGTTTAAATTTAAGTATAGTGGATTTACAGTGTTTCAGATATATAGCAAAATGATTCAGTTATACATATACATATATATTTATCTATTCTTTTTCAGATTCTTTTCCATTATAGGTTATTACAAGATATTGAATATAGTTCCCTGTGCTATACTTGTTGTTGTTTATCTATTTTATATATAGGAGGATTGCTATATATCTTGATGTTCTACTAATTTGCAAAGCAACAAATTTTTACAGCCAGGTTTAGTTAACACAAATGGTCATGCACCTAATTTGATTGGTAACAATTCAGAGGAAGAGGGAGCATAGTGAAATGTCTCAAAAACATCCTCTTAAACATCACGGGTGTAATCTCCAATTTATAAACTGTCTTGTTCCAAATGCTATAGATACTGTTTGCAATTTGTGATGCATGCTTCATGCTTTCAAATTTCACCTGCAGGCGTTAGGGTTCCAGATTACTCCAGAAAAGTGTTTTAAGCATTGAATTGTAATAGGACTCTAAAATGAAGCCACCACTTATGACATTGTTCCTTATGAAAATGCCCCCAGAGTTCTGACTTGGGATCCCAGGTTCCTTAATGAAGCTCCTTTTTACACGAGAGCACAGGGATAGAAGTGGATCTCCATAATTGTACCAGCAGTGGGCAAAGGAGAGCCTAGACATCCCATGTTGGTGGGGAGAGGGGGGCTGTTCTGTACATTATGCAAGGAGGGAGCTGCCAGACAGATACTGGAGTAGAAGGGAGGTACATAAGTTGTGAGAAGCCCCTGCTGTTGCCAGAATGAGTTTACTGGCTATTTGAACGTCTGATAATTAGGAGTTGGCTGAATTATTATTTTTAACTATAATTCCATGTATCATATTAATGTAGACCATATCTTGAAATCAGTGCTGTTCAAAGTGTGAATAGAAGGCTAGCATCTGTCTGCAAACTGTCTGTTACTTGAAACTGAGAATAAGCATTTGGAAACTTGTAGCAATTGACAGTGTGCTTTTTACAATGATTGAATCTAAAAGATAAGGGCCTATATATTGTTCATTTTATTTTTCTAGTAATTCCTTTTATTCATTTTTATTATACGTGACAAAGTATTGGCTTAGATAGATTGGAAATTTTAAGGCTGGTCCTTTTGAGAAGCATTGCTACAGTGGGCTTCAGAAGGTCTCTGTTAGTTTGGAAATTTTATATTTTATTTCTCTCCTTTTACTGCTTACTCTGAAATTTTTGTTTGTTTTTACTTAAACAGATTAAAAATAAGCCTGGTTCTCCTTCTGGATGGGGCCCTAGCTATTTTAAGGTAAAGCAGGGCAAGTTCCATTGCATTGATGGATAATTCTAACATTTCCTGTTTGGGAAACCTCTGAGACGACCTCTGATGCTTATTTTATGAGTGTGGAAATCCTTGTCTTTCAAGTTTCCCTCAACATCGATTTCTTTTTCAGAGCTGATCCAGAGGGATGGATGGTAAGGTGCACTTTCCTTCAGACCTGGGATCTTGACTTCACTCTCATTTGAGTGGCGTGGTTTACACATCAGTGCTGCTGGTACTCTCTCTTTATAAACCCCCTCACACATAAAGCCAAACTTGAATATGGAGGCTTTGGACTCAGTGTATGAGAAGCCTCAGAAAAGGAAAAATCACACTTTATTTACAAGAAGAATGGCTTTGGGGAAAAATGTGTACAGTATACAGCATGTTAGTACATTTCCAGGAAATTAATCAAATTAGTCAAATCAAGTTACAGATGTAGTCAGGAAATTCTCAGCATGAGTTCTCCGTACAATATTTTGGTGGATAAAATCAAATGGCTTATACCTAATATTTTCAAAGCGCAGTGGTCCCAGCTTATCCTCAAGTCACCTTGGAATTGACTTGGAATTGAAAGCTTCCACAATGCATTCATGGCTTTGCTGTGAATTATGAAGTGTTTGTGTCTCTGCTGTAAGGTGTTGGGATTCAGGAATAGAATCAAATTCCTGAGAAATACCACCATAGTCACCAACTCAGAACACCAGTGGCCTTCCTCTTTCTTCAGGGAAGTTTTCTTTCCCTCACAGTCGATGTGCTTTGTTTCTTTTATAGTTTCTGATGCTCTGGTATTAAAGGGAATTTCTGCTGAGGTACCATTATAGTATGGATATCACATATGCTATAGATTTTGTCCTTTCTGACTTTAAAAGGGTTAAATTTTAAGACAACACCATCGCTGCTGTTGCTAAGTGCTCATCAGTATGTCTTTAAAGGCAATGACTCATTCCCAGCATTTTCACCGAAAGAGAAACATTTAAGATTATTCTTTTTTGGCCTACTCCTGAAGATTGTTGTCTCTTTATTTATCATCTTCATGACTGGTACGTTCTTAAGCTGAGGTTGCCGTATGGAGAGGTAGATTTTTCTACACATTGCTTAAAATATTGTTTGTATTTTTCAACTAGGTGGCTGTGCTACGATCCCAGAATCAGACCTAGAAGAAAGATCAGTAGAGCAAGACTCCACTGAACTGTTTACCAACCACAAACACCTCATCGTGGAGACGCCCATAGCTGGTAAGAGAATGAGTGGCCTTCACAACTGGTATGTCAGGAAGAACGAGACACTGGTCAGGTTTTGTCATACCAGAAAGCATTTTGCAAAATTGCTTGTTTTCTAACTTATTCAGCCTTCCCCTTGGCATTGGGTGCAGCTGAATTTGATCATTTGTATATTCCTTTCAATATTCAGACCTTTTCTCTCTCTTGCTCTCTTTCATTTTTCCAGAAGTTTCACCCCTCCAAGGAGTTTCAGAATAGTTGAAGTAGAGTTGTCTGGTTGAGGGGAAGATGGCCTTCCCAAGGCTGATCATGTGTGGACCTCATGCCAAGCACAGATGAAGGTGCTTCATACAGCTCACCTGCCAGGAGATAATAGGTAGAGATGGGGATGGGGACTTTTAATTTTTCTAGGAGGACTTGTAATACTATGGGCAAGTCAGTTGAACTTGTCTTACCAGGAAAGGATGTTGCTGCTTTTTGGTCATCTGTATGCTTTCAGCCACAGTATATAGTGAGATGACATCTTTTGGGGGCAGACTTTGTAATGCAAAGACCCAGATCCTACTTGATACCCCAGTTTTTTCACAGAATTCTTATATATTAAATGTATCGAGTTTAATAAAAGCATCTTATTGTCAAACAATATCTTGGATTTGATTTGTAATCAGAGGGTTATATAGTTGATTTCTTTATTTATTTAAAGTGAAGAAATTGAACGGAACTAAAAATGTTGCTTCTCCACGGTAAGACTTGAGTGTGGTTATTTTATAAATACAAGAAACTACTATTAGGCTAAAAGTGGGAAAAGGTGAGTATTTCTAGTATTGTATGAAAATGTTAAAATATTTTCAAGGAAGCTAGTACATTAACATCCTTTTTCATTACCCCAATGGGAGATACCTTTTAAAAATCCAGGTTATAGAAGGATTCACACTTCATTATAATTAAAAGGTAAGGTTTTCATATGTAAGAAATAGAGGAGATTTTGCCAATTTCGGGTTAAAATTACAGTTGCAAGGCTGATTTATTTAAATAAAAATATGTCTGTGCCAGTTTTGGAATGCCTCAGTCAGTACAAAGGAGAAAGTGGCTCACAGTTTTTCTATAAGTGAAATGTCAAAAAAATTGCAGAGGATGTATTATTTATTATTTATAGCATTCTTTTTTAGGAGATGCAGCAGAAGATTAAATAGTTTTCATTGTCAAGTATGGGAGTGGACACCTTCTAGCCTTTGGGCCAGAATCAACCATTAGGTTAATGTTACCCAGCCTGTGGGGACCAGTAAAAGATGTCTTGGCTCTGTGTATGCCTAAAGATGCAAAACCACAACACTTCTGATCATCTTTAACAGCTTCATTGAAGAAAGGTTAGAAGAGAAGTATATTCCTTCTTTAAAGAGTGTTTCTTAGTTGTGTCTTTTTTTCTTTTTTTTCTTTTTGATATTTGGTTCCCAGGGATATTTTGTCCATGGAGTGCATGTGTCCATGTGCTCATCTCTGTTCTCCTTTCTTTCTCTTTTTTTTTGAGTCATGTCCTGTTTGTCATGTCCTGTCTGCCTTTCTTTAACTCAATTTCTTTTTCTCTCTTGTTTCTATGTTCATCAGCCTTGATCAGTCTTTCCCTTCCTCTATTCCCCCCAATTCTTTCCCTTCACTTTTTGATTCTCTCCCTTTATTTCCTGTGATATGTTTTATGAAGCATATCATTTGATTTGTAAAGGTTACTTTAAATGTGCATGAGTACAGTGATTTCTATCTTTTTCAAATCTCTCCTCCATTGTTTCCTTTTTTTAATGGCCTCCACAATTTCTCTCTTCCATGAGGGAGTGTTTACCAATGTAAACTCAAAAGGCTTCCTATCTCTGATTTGGGAGTTTAAGGTGACTTTTGCTGCTACAATTACATCTTATACTGAGAGTTTTTAATGTTAAGAAGTATATTTGCAAGAAGTTTTCCTAGAAATCATTATCAGTATCTTAAGCCTATTAGCAAAATTACTTGACCAAATAATTTTATTTTTTTATTTGGATCATTTGAATACAGAACTCTGTATGCATACATCATACATATAAATATTTTAGAATGTTTCTAATTTATTACCATTTGCATTTTACTAGCTGCCAAAAGGAAAGAAGTTACTAATTAAACTTTTTAAAATTGCAATATAGTTAATTTACAATACTTTGTTAGTTTCAGGTGTACAGCATAGTGATTCAGGGTTTTTTTTGCAAATTAATTCCATTATAGGTTATTACAAGGTATTGGGTATAATTCCCTGTGCTATACAGTAAATCCTTTTTGCTTATCTATTTTATGTATAGTAGTTTGTATATGTTAATCCCATATTCCTAGTTTGTTACCCGCTCCCGTTTGGTAAGTTTGTTTTCTATGTCTGTGAGTCTGTTTCTGTTTTATATATAGATTCATCGGTATTATTTTTTAGATTCCATATATAAGTGATGTCATATAGTATTTGTTTTTCTCTGACTTATTTCACTAAGGATTATATTCTCTAGGTCCATCCTTAATTAACCTTTTAAACATTATCAAATTTAAAATATAAGTTCTAAAATGATAAAAATGATTTGATTAATGACATAAATTTAACTTTGTTAAAGAATTTCCTGAATTTAAGTTGTACATATCTTCTACTCCTGATTTTAGCTTCATGATTTAAAAACACAAAAACTGTTTAAAGTGTTTCTACTAGCAAAAAAATAATGGAGCCAAGAATTATGTTATCTTTTAGAGTGGCTGTTTAAAAATCAAGACCCAAATAATTCTTAACTATTCCTATTATTTTGAGACCAATATTTCAGTCTTTAATAACGATTGTCCATTATGTCTTGTGTGTGTGTGTGTGTGTGTACATAATCTTGGAGTAACTCACAAATCTGGAAGAAGGAAGATGATCCAGGTTTCTGATTAGCCCAATGGTTTCATTATTACCCAATATATCAGAATAGGTACTAATAAAATAGCAAACATTTATTAAATTCTTACTATGTGCTGGTACTTTGTATGCATGATTTCGTTCACTCCTCATGACATTACTGTGATGTAGAGAATGTTATTATCTCTATTTTACAAATGAGAGTACTGAGATTTACAAAGTCTAAATAATTTGTCCAGTATCCCACAGTTAATATGTAGCAGAACTGGGATTTTAATCCAGGCTAATTCCAAAAGCCCAAATACACACCCAAATGTATAGATTATTGGTAAGATTTACATTTTAAAACCGAGGGCTTATAGTCCAAGATAGCTACATTTCTTTGATTTCTAGTGTGTTTGCACATTTAAAAAATTTACTTTTCTTTGCCATTTGTATTTCTGCTTTGCTGAATTCCCTGTTCCTATTCTTCTTTTCCTTTTTTTTGGTGGTGGTGATAATTATCTCCTTATTGACTTATAATAGCCTTTTATGTGATTTTAATCTTTGGTTGACTGAGTATGATATAAACATTGTTCTCAATTTTTCACTTGTCTTTTAATTTTGTTTCTGAGTGTGTTTTTTTTTTTAATAGAAAATTTCTAAATTTTAAGTAGCCAAATCTATTAACCCCTTTCTTTATAGTTTCTGCTTTCGGTGTCCAACCTGGGTGGTCTGTCTAATGCCCTTTCCTGTTTCTTCTCTGTGCCAGTCTGTGGTTGTGCTCAGGCTGTTGTGTTCTGTGCTATGACAGCTTCAGTCATATCCTCTACTCTGGTGCACTGGGTTCTGTGAGCCACAGAGCTGTGTTCTCTTCTGCTTTCATATCTCAAAGAGCTTTACACGAAATGTCTCCTAGGTTTTACCCAGTTTCTTCCTTCCGCCTGTGGAGAATGACCCAAGTGATAGACACTCCACAGCTTTCAAAATACCACTCCCCTCTGATCTTTGCCCCTCCTCCACCATGGGCTCTCGTTTAGGATGACTGGCATTCCGAAAGTTTCCTTAGCACTCTTATAAATAGCCTTGCCCACACCATACCCACACCATGCCCTCCAGACATGGCCAGATGTGTCCCCATCCCATGTGAACACAGGGTGGGCTCAGGTTGGGCATGTGGGGCCCATTTATATCTATGTGTACAGATGTAAGAGAGGTGAGTCAGTGATAAAGTTCTGTACCTCAATCCCCCAGTTCTCTAAGCTGTTTGGTTCCCCAGCGTCTCAAGGGACTGGCTTGGTATTTCCACAGGTCAGGTACACCTGGAGCGCAAGGGTTCCCTCAAGTTGAGGAACATCAGATTGTGTTATGAATGGCTTTTCTAAAATTCCATTAATTAGAAAAAATATTCTCTGGCCTAAAAGTTGCTAAACCAAGAGACCTCTGTGTTTTCTTAAAATATCTGTCTCTGAGTAGTTGGTAGTCTGTGTCACAATGTACACAATTCCCTATCACATAAAAATGCAGGTAAAGACGAGCGAAAGAATCAAAACAAAATATATGTGAGGAGTGTTTAACCCCCTAAAAAGCATTGTATAAGCACAGGATTGTCAGTGGTCACCTGCCACAGCAGCAATGTCCTCTTTGTGTGCCAACAGTGTCGTCCGTGGCCTTCTGTTCAGATATTAAGGGTGTGTCCATAATAGTCAGGGAGCCTGTGAGGGGGAGGGTTGATGGAAGAGAGACTCAAGCTGGTGGTTTTCAGCCATGGTTGCACATTAGGATCTCTCATTTTCTTCTTTTCGCTGATCTATATTTTCAGTGTTTTGTTAATGAATATTTATTGCTCTTGTAATAAGAGAACAGATCCCATCTTAGAATGTATCAGTTTTAGTGATATAAATAATAATTAGAAATGTACTCTTGCTGATTAGCGTTTTCTATATTAACAGCATGAGTTTCAGAGAATAATCTACTTGGACAGTGAGCTCTAGTAGTTCAGAAAAGTCCAGAGTGTAATGTATTTTCATCAAAATAGCATGATTATTATAACTTATAGCAGTAATATGAACATGTAATTGTATTGAAAATTACAGTTTCTCTTCATGTCCTTAACATCATCTGATGCAAAAAAGCAAATGTGTCAATTAAATATGAAAATAATATTAAGAGGATTCTGAAGGAGCAACACAAGGCTGTTTAGATTATAACAGATGTTGCCTTTTCTATAGTCTTTCTGTGTATGTAGCATTGAATTAGCTGGTGTTATTTTTCTATTTTTGTAGGTAAATTATGGAAGCTATGTGGACATCGCATGTGTTAAGAGTTTTGTTGCTTTGGACTTCAAAAGGTATAACTTACAGTACAGCAATATTGCCAAAGCCTAATTAGAGTAAGATGCCTGTTAGAGTGATCATGTCCCCCAGTGCCTAATCTCTGGGTTGGAGAGAGGTTCTCTGTTCAGGCTGATGTGGAAAAAATCTTGCAAAACCACTAATTCTCAGGCTCGCCATCGTTTCATTTTAATTATATTCAACCTAGATCCCAACCCTTCCTTCAGGGCTTGGTCTGAATAAATTATCTCCTCACCTGGATGCCGAGAGCCACATTTGAGGCCCTCTAGGGACAAGTGGGCAGGTCATTGTGCATCACAGCTTTTAGTCCCATTTGCTGGCTCCTTATTATATTCTTCTCCTTTTTTGTCTTTTTATTTCACTCCACTTTTAAATGTATTCTCTTTTGTTGTATTGACAGGACCTTGTAAGCCC